TTACCAGTTGACTATCATTAATTAATTAGAAGCATGACTGTATGGGACATGCATGTACACGTCATACAGGGGGGGGTGTACAGTGTACATGTTAAGTAATCAAAGTACAGTATCAGAATTTAAAAAATACCGGTACCTTAAGGAATTCCTCCTTAAAAATTACACTTAAAATGAATTAATGCTTAATTAAGTGACTTGTACAGTGTATCTATACCGGCTTAATTATTGTTTAAATGCTTCAATCAATTCATTGATAAAATGTACAAGATTAGCTCTTTTAGTTTCCAAGTATTTTCTGTCACACTAATTCCTTTTTCTCCTCTTTAAATTAATAATCTTTATCACGTTTTTCTTGTTTCACTTATCTTTTCTCATCATATTCAATTGTATATAATGGGGGGGGGCCCTGGCCTTGTACAAGCAGTAGCCTTCTGCCAGCCTCCACTGTTCAGCATGTGCATCAACCAATGTAATTTTACGTCACAAGAAGATAAATGGATGAATGGAAATAAACCAACCAAACCAAACCAAATAATAATAAGAATTTAAACTACATGTACATGTACCAGTCCCATCATTGGACCAATTAAGTTCCTGTGTGCTTTATAACCAGAATTGTGGATGGTACCGGTATATGAAAGTCCACTTCATGTGTACATATTCCTGATTATTTCATCTGGAAGTTTCTGTTCGGAAACAGTTGCCCAGATGAGTAAATTCACTGTACCTGGTATGTCGATGAAGTTCATATACATGTACACTGTACATGTACCTGCATGTGCACACATGTGCATACATGTACATGTGCATTTTCTCTGCATGTACAAAGTGTATGCAATGTACATGTACACGATCTAACCTGGTCATTTATTTCCTCTTTCCTACTTCAAGTGCTTTCAAATTGCCAGTTCTTATACCAACTTCACAGCATGCTGTGAGGACACTCCAGGCTAATTGGCCATCCCAGGGAGAGCGGCTTGCAGTTCGCAAACACTTGTGATGATCCAATCACTGTGTATTGATTGATTGTACTGTCTATATATTCTCTCAGCTGAGATACTGATCGTTGACATCCTATTGATATGTATACTGTATATCATTTGGCACATTGAATACATGTACATGGATACATCCTTTCCAGTAGTTTTCAAGTCCAGGGGTACATCTGTGTGGATTCTGCCTCAGTTGTGTGTCACATACATGTACATGTATATGGGTCATTACACGAAATTCGGGCACAGTTTGTGACGGCGTCCCTTGTTACATCGGTAAAAATAAACATCTTTTTCCCTGCGTGTGGATTCTAAATTGACATTCTTCTAAATCGTGCTAGGATTTTGTAGTGGTGTGCTTCGTCCTTGCTGTATGATATGACTTAATCTGTTATAATGTGAAAATAAAGGGCAATAAAAGTTACCGATGTAATGAGGGACGCCGTCACAAACTCTGCCCGAACTTCATGGAGTGACCCATATGTATACAAGTACCTGTATAAACTTGTGGAAACTAAGTCAGGAACCATAGATTTTAAATGCACATGTACTGTACACTTATGTCGTTTCAGGAAGACAACCCATCACTGTTTAGTTACTGCAGTAGTGCTACACTTTTGAAATCAATTATATTCAACCGTGGCATGTAAAGAAATTCATGCTATTGTGTAACTTTCTAGACTGCACCTTTTTATTATATGGATTGAATGATTTGATGTGTACAATGCACGATCCACTGCACTGCGCAGTGACTCAACCCAGCGACAGAGCAATGTCCATGCACACTCCTTTTGTTAACAATTGACCATGAATAAATAAACCAGATGGCAGGCTTGACCGTGTGATACTACTTGGGTAGCCTTATGTTTGTATCAGTTTGGTTTGAAGCATTCCATTTTGAGATGAAGTGACATTGAATAACTGACATGGAAGGGTCATGGCATGTGTATGTGGGGCATTTATTAAACTCGCTCTTCTTATACACTGTATGTGAGTAACTTCCTGTCCAGATAATTTCCATGTTAAACTACAGTACTGTAGAACTAGAACTTTAGAAGGAAGGTGAATTCACACGCACAGTTACTGATCTTGTCTTTAATGGTAGAACAGGGCTTGGAACTTCAGAACGTTCCCTTTTTAAAATCTGCCATTCACTATCATTAGACAAGTACAGACCATCACTGTCATAAGTAAACAACGATGTGTATGGAACATGGGAGAGTAAGGTCAAATCAAATACCAACACAGGGATGTACATGTACCGTACATGTATCATGCTGTTGGACCGGTGTACGGTACATGTACTTACACAAATGTGCATGTACACATCCATAAAAACATACATGTACATACATGTACATTGTATGTGTACCAGTACACAGTGCACGTACGTACATGTACGTGTACATATACACATGCATGTACATGTACATACATGTACATGTATACATGTACCAGTACATGTATATTTGTGCTCACCATATTGAGAGCATTGGCCATGTCCTGGTGCCCTTTCATGTAATTTCATGGAATGCGTCTACAAACTTTGACACAGTATCGGGTACAGTGTGCATAGATTTGGGTGCAGATGTACTAAAACATGTACATGTACAGTGTACATGTACATTGGTACATGTATTTGAACTGCCAAAATTCTACTTCAGCTTAGCTTACCATCTATTTGCATATACCCGTATTTAGCCTGAAAGTGTGTGTATATGGTAATTGATATGTCGTCAAGGACGAAAATCTTCCACTGCTCTAGAATCCTGAAATACTTTTACATGCATGGCCTGAAAATACTGTGGAGACAAGTCATTTCTATCAGGGAACCTTGAAATTGTCTATTAAAATACATGTATATGTAATCCCAACTACAGCTTTACTCATGGAATACTCGAATGAACACCTTTGGGGTATTAAGCTTATTAACCCTAACCGCCAAGCATATTGTTTGGATTACAGTACTCAGCATTCTAAAATACTAAGTAATAGCCTAAGCCTTAAGGACCTAGTGCTACAAATTACTACTTCTGGCTTGGTTACTTCCTTTGTTACTCATTACAGAGAACAATAAAGCCATGCATTCATAGTGCCACAGCACTGTGTGGTACATTGTCTTTTCTATTGTATTTTATGGCTTCAGAGAACAATACGGTCATGTCCTCTTACAAGCGGCAGCACTGATTACTATATTTTACTACAAGTAGTAATTTGTAGTATTATGTAAGGTTAAGGTTAATAACACATACAAAATTGAAAAATTCTAGGTACATGTACGGTGGGATAATTCAGTGAATGTATTATACCAGGAAATGTGCATTAACAGCTTTGGAGGCATAAAGTGACTCATGGCTCAAGTAGACAAACCCTTAGATTTCTGGCAACTCAGGGCTTTTTCAGGAAATGTGTTTCGTCACTAGAACATTGTAAAGGTTTTACAGATGTGCATTTAGCACTCAATCCTTTGTGAGAAGCACATTTGGTACTTTGCATGTGCATGTAGTTTTATTTAGAAGGTTCCAGTCAGGATAAATGAAGGATAAATAAGTACTTGACTAGGGCAAGTTTGTATGATGACAAGAACTGGTCAATTTGCCTGGTGACAAGGATACTGTACATTTTGAGCATACCGGTACATGTAGATTACCTAGAAAAATCAACCTGTTGTTTAGGTGTGAGTCAATTCGAATAATTCACTGTTCAAATGTTCAGTCAATTTGACTAAATATCCGAATATTCGATCATGTCGACTAGCGGATTGTTGACGAACAAACCATATACATGTACATGTACATGTACAAAACCAGTTGCAATGACACACACATTTGTAGGCCCTACATTTTAATGACTATAATAGCTTCTCACTTCTAGGAATATCTCCAGCCACGATACAGGTAGCAAGATTAAACAGACATACAATATTTTTTTGCCCTGTTGAAAATTTCTATTTTTAAAAAACTTTTTAACGAATAATTCACTTTTTGAATCCTAAGATTTCTGTCGCTTTTCATTTGAATGTGCTTGAGAAACAAGCCTCCATAGTGCAATTTTTCTCATTTAAAACAAACAAAAATTTTCCCTTCCTTTTCATGAATTATGTATTTGACTAGTCAAATTTGGAAAACAATATTCGCATATTTGATAATCGATCGAATATTCGGCACTGCCTATATTTGTTGTGAAGACAATAATACCAGTAGGATGTTTAACCTATTCCCTGTCCATCTCTACACCTAATTCTCCCCGTCACTTTTTGGAGGGAGATGACACCTATGCATGATCCATTCCTCTTGGAGTGACTGATGTTTTTCTTTTTTGACTACTTTTAGAGCATTTGTGGGTGGGGGTTTGTATGGCAACGAGACTACTGCCACCGGAGTGCAGCATTTGGTCCAGTCGGCACAGGATGTCAACAGCACAATAGATACCACCGAGAAAGAGGTACGTGGTGGTAGGATAGAGGCAAGCTTTAGGGTTTCAAGAATGGTCCTCAGTGGTACCAGTTTGCACAACAATGCCAAACAAATTTCCCATTATCCTATGTGTAAACAAAATTTCATGTTTTTTTCATCACCAGATCACCACAATATACAATGGCATCACGGTGGATCTAAAAGACAAAGTGGACAGTCTTGAGAAAATCTTCCAGGAGCCCATCGCCAACCTTACAAGGCAACGCATGCTGCAGGAGGAGACGCAGGCTCTGCAAAGCATGGTGGGATGTGCTGGGAAGAACGTCAGCCAGATTGATGCTGCGTACAGCAACAACCTCGATCTCAGCAGACCCACCACAGAAGTCCAGTATTATGAAACGATCAGGTGAGAATTGAATCTTAAAACGCCTTTGCCACATTGTGTTAGGGAAAGGCCAGCGTACACTTAGACACTGTCCCAATTTGCCTGTGTTTTGTTTTATTGTCTTTTGTTCTGGAGGATGCTCAGTGTTCAGCAGGTGTACATGTAAATTGGTATTCTTTCCCAGGAGGTGCGGCACCGGACCTCAATGGCTGTGGGTGCAAGTGTGAGGCAAGGCAGAATCACGTGGGTGCAAATGATCCTTCTTTTTTCCTGGGTCATAACGAGGAGTCGTAAAATGAGAAGGTTGATCGCCCTGTCTTAAAAAATGACACAGTTTTCCTGGGTGCAAATGTGGGTGGGAGCGGCTTTTCAAAGGGTGCCTTTGCACCCATATGACACCCATAGTGCTGCCACTGTTGCCCAGGTACCAGTATCTGCACTCCCGCATTTTTTTTACCAAATGAAAAACAAGAAATCTAGTCTTTTTGTAAAATTGTATTTTCTGTTTGGCTCATTAGCATTATTTACCAACATAACCATCATCAGTATTTACGTTCATCTTCTACCGGGTAGTTTCATCTTGTACATGTAGATGAATACCAACTATTGATGCAAAAAGATGGAGAATATATAAAAAGCAAACCTGTGTCAGAGGCTAGTCTCTCAACAATCTGTATTTGATGATATCATTCCACCTTTGTGCATGCACTGTCTGGCTGCCTGGTTCACAAGGTCCGTGCCCATCATGCTGTCATACATGTACATGTCTTGTATGACTGTTCAACACCTGACGCTTTGTCTCAGGTAGTGCAGCACTGTGCCCTTGTGTGCTCAACACAGAACCCTAAATTTGTAGCAATATACAGTGTACATGTACACGCTCATTTTCTCATGCCAGACTTAGTCAGCCGTACAGTCAGCCATTGCATGCCAGAGACATGTTCATGTACAATGTGAGAAATCAGACTAAGATCAGACATACACACAAACATGTATGGATAACTTGTTCTGCATTTGACAGACTAACCCGTACACATAGGCATTTCAACTGTCTGGCTGTACCGGTATTATAATGAAGGAATGAAATGAATGGCTTGATTTTTTTTTCAAGTTCCCCTTTTGTTACAAGGAATGATGGAATTTTTTTTGAGTGATCGTGTAATCTTGGCAAAGGGTTTGTTGTGAAAATTGCATGTACATGTACATACACATCATTGTCATTCGATTTGTGTCTGCATGAGCTGTCGAGCGCAGTATTCTGTTCTAGTGTAATGGCAAAAGAATAATGAAAGGACCGTCAGGTATGTTCTTAGTAGTTGCAGAAATAACACTTTGGTGATTGTAATACCTGTCTAAGATCTTGTTGGCAATCTGTCCATTTTTGCAAGTACATGTGTAAATATTCACCAGTGCACATGGCAAACAACCTCCGGTGCATAGCACATACCAAATAAGGGGGTCTCAGTTTGGCCAATTTATGACTCCAGACATTTGCGATAGTAAGAACAGAAATTGCATATTACATTTATTATTTATTTTGGCGTGTGGCTGGATATTTTAGTTTTGCCAATACTAACGCATCGTTTGTACGTGCTGACAATTTCCAAGAGACCCCAACAGGAGAGCAGAGCCATTGCTGCAGTGTTTGTCCTGCTCTCAAGTGTTCTTTATCTGGGGTCCAACTTTTGTCAGAAATATTGACAGAGGGTTAAAAAGCAAACCTGTGAGCTGTCAACAAAGGATACCCCACTCAGAAAATTTCCAGAATTGAACATTTTTATCTGCCCTTCAAAATGGTTGACAGCACTCAAATTGTCCAGAGTTCAGTGTACATGTACGTGGATACGTGTTGGGTTTGCATGTGATTGACGAAGTCCCTTCACAGCACAGGATAATGACGATGAATCAAAGTTTCACATCTGGAGTCCCCATACATGTATTGCATGTTCCCTTGGGTGAAAAGTTCAACAGAAACTTTTTATTGATTGAGCTTGTGATAATGACCATACACAGTTTACATCAACAACATCAAATGTGGGCACTATGACTCAGGCAGGCCCTAAATATTTACTTAGTAGCCCAGTAGTGATTAAACATTAATTAAAATGGGAAATTTTCTTTTTATCATCAATTTGTGTGCTTCTCCTTCCTTGTTATATCTCCAAAATAAACGGGAAAATGAACATTGCGCATGGAATTTTCAAGCACTACATGTGACAACGTTTTTTGCTTTCTCAAACGTCATGCATTTTTGTCAAAATTCTCGAGCGTCATCAAAATTCCGTCAAATATGACGTTCGCAACGAACATATTGTGTACTCATTATACATTATTGATGCAGCCAAACTTAAAGATTATTTTCAGTGAGTGAAAGGTGGGAGTGATTATAAACGGTAAGAGAATGAAGAGAGCCAAACTTTTTTCATCATTTTCCGTCAATTTTGTGCTCTTTTTTTCATGGCTTATATTTTCTTAAAAGTTATTTCTGAGGTACTTTAAAATACATCAGTTGAAAAATATACTGAATTCTCCTTGTTGTTGAGAAAGGTTTGAAATCAAGTCCTCTGGTACAAATACTTTTACGTAAAACTTATAATTAATTTAACTCCATTTGATATGCACTGGTAGCCAACCAAAGGCCTTTTCACACTACAGAGCCAATCCCCGGGAAATAAATCCCTAGGAAAATCTCGTGGATTTTGCACCCCACCAAAACCCTAGTAACGAGACCCATTTGGTAACTCCCGGGGACACTATTTCCAGTGAATATGCACGGTTGTTTCACACTGGCAATCCAACCCCGGGAAATGTGTATACGGAAGCTGCTCATCTAGAAGTTTTCAAATGAATTGTGGGCGGAAGTCCAATCCCACAATGATGCGCGCATGCACAAGCAGCTGTTGTTTACATCGCGCAATGCCAGGTTGACGTTACGAGTACGAGAACGGCAGCCCATCTGACCAGTATTTGCATGCTGGTGTTATGCTGTTATAGCATTTGGAACTTAACTGGGGTTAAGTTCAAACCAGCTGACATTCACACTAGATGCTTTTGTCCAGGAAAAATGCTAAACCCTTGGGTTTTCTCTTTTAACCCTACTCCCGAGCAGGGGTAAATATTTCAAACTACAAAGATGTATCTTTGTAGTTTGAATGTGATGCAAGAACCAGACTTGTTCCTGAAAAAATGCAACTTGTACCCTTTAAAGCATTCTTCATTTAATTTGAGACAAACACTCTTGGCTCTCTTGCCTTTGATTTGAAGCAGTTGAAACTTTCCTGCACACTGAATCAGCATTAAAGAGCCCCCCTCCCCAAAATCTCTCCTTCCTACTTGTATCCTGTTTTCAGATTCCTTAGCAAAAACAGGTCAGCAGCCAAAGTGTCATGGAAAGTACCTTGTAGATTACTGAGGACTGGTTCCCTGCTCATTATTGCCTGGCGCAAAATTTGCTCAGCGGTGTTTTCTACTTTTTTTAAAGGTTGCAATTAGGTCTCATACATGCACGCCTTCATATTTGTCATGACTCATCCATCAACTTGCATCCTGGCAATGCATTTAGAAGCAAATGGGAGAAAACTATATTTTGTTGTATTTCAAGCTGATCCTCAAATAAAATAAAAGTTCCATGCCCGCAAACGTGTACTTTAACTTATACATGTAAATGCAAATAATCTTTCTGTCATTCAAATGACATGACATACGGGTACATGGACATGTACATGTATACTTGTATCCCTAGAACCGGTACTAGGACATGTACATGTATACTTGCATCCCTAGAACCGGTACTAGGACATGTACATGTACACTGTATACTTGTATCCCTAGAACCAGTACTAGGACATGTACATGTATACTTGTATCCCTAGAACCGGTACTAGGACATGTACATGTATACTTGTATCCCTAGAACCGGTACTAGGACATGTACATGTATACTTGTATCCCTAGAACCAGTACTAGGACATGTACATGTATACTTGTATCCCTAGAACCGGTACTAGGACATGTACATGTATACTTGTATCCCTAGAACCGGTACTAGGACATGCGCTGATATGACTGTTTAGTAGACAAAAGCTATCCTTATACATGTAAACTTGACCCACAGTGGTACATGTACATTGTATATGTATATACTTCTGCACCATAGTTATAGGGACATACACTTGACATTTCACCTCTTTTGTGGGGACCAAAACGTGGGGGGGTCGGACTAAAAAATGTCCCCACAACTCGTTCAAATTTCTCTAACAAAAGAACTTGCCCCCTGAACGTGGTGAATGCCTACCCATGTGTACTCTGTACATTTGTGTATTACCGGGGGTTGTTGTCAGTTTCGTATTGTCATATCTATTCCATTTTGGATAACTTCATGTTTTTTCATTGTTTCCATTTTGTGCATTCAGGTGGGGTGGTTTTATTGGTGTCTTCTGTTTTGAACTGATCATCTGTTTGGTAGTTCTATGTGGAGCCTGCACAGGAAAGAGATGTTCACTTATCAGGTAGGCCTGAGTTTACGCTCACCGGTACCTCTCAGAACCACCACTCTTGAAGAAGAGATTACTTCCACATGGTGTACTTGCAGACTTTTTCCTCAGGAAAGCCAAAATAAAAAAAGCCAAGCATCGTTGGCTCTGTACAACAGTTTCACTTTCAGTCTTTGGAAAAACAGCAGGCCTGTAATAATTATAACTTGTGCATGCCTATTCGTTTGCGTGTGGGTATTTAAATGAGTTGACCTCATGTCGCAGGTCGTAAGAGTTAGCCTGCATTAGACTCTTGATGTGCTAGATATTGTGACTTAAGTCGTGTCCGCATTTCCTGGCTACCTGGTATGGCTGTAGCAAACAGTTGAAGCTGTTAAAGCCAGTGCCTGCCATAGCCTTCTGTGCTATCGCCAGCCATAGCCAGTCATTTTGGACCTGGCCAATGGTACATTAGTTTTATATGTACTTGTACCTCAGCCTGATGATGTTACGCATGGAGCTTATAACCTGGGGAACATAAAGGGTGCATTCCACCTTATGGTTCCATCTCGTCATTCTTACCGGGTAGTTATTGTTATTTTCTTACTTGGATCAGTTGTTTTCATTTGGCCAACGTCCAATATGGCCACGATAGATTTGTCGTGCCAATCTGCTCTCAAATGTGGAAGGTTTTGCTTGCATTGCTGCAAATTAAAACATACCTATTTCCTTGTTGAGATTCAGCTGTAATATTTAGCCAAATGTTTTCACGTATGCGCCAAAAAATCTCAGTTATGCATAAGAATATTCCCCCACTATCTCACCTCGCCGACCAAGGTACTGCAGTCACTTTTTTCCTCCTTACATCAAGTGTATTCACGAGTATTTAACCTTCAAGGAGAGAACTTGCAGCATTTGAGCATGGTGTGGCTTTCTACTGGTTCACCAATGTTATCCATTGGGGTGAATGAACAGCCTGAAAGGAGAGCAGCGTACACACGTACATGTACACATGTAACATGTACATGTACATGTGTGTAGGCCTTCATCTTGTACACTGTACATGTACATCTTATGTATGTTGATTAAAGCTCTGCATACATTTACATGTACATGTGTACTGCAACGTTGTATCACACTGGCTAGTGCATATTATGAAATGCAGATCCCAGGCAGTAAAATATTATTTGCATCGTGTAAGTTAAGTCTCTTTGTGCATTCATAGGGTGTTGTGCGTACATGTACAGCACTGTAATGCTTGTTGGAAATACTGCAGTGTAATTACCAGTGGCTGTTTGTGTGTGTGGGAGGGGGGGTTGAGGTCTTGTACTGTTATTAGAAATCTGTGGAAACTTAATTGTCATTTTTGTGAAATGCTTAGACATACACTGTACGTGTATTTCTTACTGCTCTAGATATTTGTGTCCCCCTCCCCTTAAAGAAATAACAGACTTTGGTTGAGGGAACATCTGATGCCAAACCGTTTGAAGAAAATTAAAGGGGCCATTCCCTTGTCGATGGGACCCAGTAGCGACTTTCTTCTTTATCCTTGATTAGATTCAGGTTGATTGTGTCTGCAGTAAGCAGCAGGTACCCGTAGTGAATGGGTGTTGGGGAATTATCTGCAGGGAAGTCCCACTCAGGATTCCACTCATGAGTAATGAAGCATTTCCTGTTTGCCTTAGTTTTCAGGAAGCAGTGTGTCCTAAATGTCTGTAAACTCAGGGAGTTTGCCAAATAGGCAATTCTAAAATTCATCTCTTAACTTCTAAAGAGACTGCTGCTTCTTAGTATATCACACGAGAGCAAATTTGTCATCTGAGTGGTTGAACAAGCTTTCCAGCTTAACAATTTAGGACATTAATTCCTCTGTAGAAAAACATACATGTATTCCATTGATGCCATCTCTTGTCTGCTTCAGCAGAAAACCAATTGCCTTACAAGTGAAGCCGACATGTACATGTATGTACTCCTCTCATGAATAATTCATCCAAAATATGCAAATTGATTAATGGAAACCTTCCAACCAGAGCAGTAGACCCTTGAAAGATACAATCCTGCCAAGGGCATCTTCTGAAGATAAAGCACTACTTGACTACGGGCTACAAGCTAATGGGCTATTCTCCCGTCTACTTCCATTTCTTGGCCCAGATTAAAGATGCACTGAGTGTCATATCGTCTCTTATAAGCTGTTGATCTCTTCTGATGCCTCTATCCTTGTTTACATACAGGTGTGGTACATGTTTGTGTCTTTATCACGTTTGTCACTGTCACAAAGATTTTTCTTTTGTTTTTTAATGCCATGTTGGTTGAAATAGATGGAGTAGTTTTTGCGTGATAGTTTTTACATGATATACATGTACCGGTACATTTAGTTTTAAAATTAAATTTGCAGGGTTAGCATTTATTTGTATTCATTTGTTTAATCTGCCATTTTTTTCTATGGTGAAAGTAAGTAAGATTATCATCCAGTACGCCACATGTACAATGTACATGTGATTTTTGAAAATTTGCAGAGATTCTTAGGGATAGGTATTCGCTTGTAGAAAGATACCTCTAAGTTGACCCATGTACATGCATCCTCTGGCTTTTTTGGGGGGGTTTGCCACAAACCTCTCATGTTTAATGATCAAGTTTAACGATCTGTTGAAGTAAGTTTAGAGAGAAAATATCAAATTGTCAAGCTCATGCCCTGCTGGGAAATCAGTGGGGGGAAAAAAATACATCCTTCAACCTTGGGATCCCACGGGGTGGCTGAAAGCAGGCTGCATGCAAGAAGAGACCTCTAGGACTCGGAAACAACGTCGCTGGGTTGCCCGTGGGAATGGCAGAGCTGGCTGCATTCCAAACACCCCAGACTTTGATGTTCCTGCCCTGGGAACCCAGACTGCCAGTTCCTGATTGCCTGGTTGGCTTTTCCAATTCCATAGAGCCCGGGCCTGCTCGCTTGGAGGCTTGATATACTGTATTATGTATGCCTCAGGAAGCCTAGTCTTAGATAGGATTGTTGTTTGATTACAAATTAGTGTCGTTTGGACCATTAGTGTAATCAGATCATCCAATTTTTGTCCAGAAGGTTTTATTTCATTTCCTGATCACAAAGAACATTTCTGTTCTTTTGGTTTTTCATGGAGCTCTGGTTATGATATTGCTCCTCCACCTGTAATTTTTTTCTGTGGATGCTTTTGCAGGTTTGAGAACATTCTGCTTTTAACTACAGATTCATTTTTTTTCAACTTCATTTAAGTGGAGCAGATAAAGAGTGTTAGGGTGGTCTTTTATTGGGTGTTGCATGTTTGACAGGATTGTGTACGTACATGTACATCTACATGTATGCAGCTACATTTACGGCCCTTTCCATATGTGACCTGTCACTGCAAAATGAGCTGCAAGTCGGAATTTTCAAAAACTGATATGTTGGTATTTTTTATTCAGCAGGAAGAGAGCTTTCCAGTGGTATGTACATGGAACACTTAGGGTAAAAGTATCAGGTGACAATGTGACATTATTCTGGCAGCGTTGCGTCTTTGTTCCTGACATTGTTTCAACATTTCAGACCAGGCACGAATAATAACGAATAATTGCTGAGAAAAAGACATTTTTAAATATGTGATTCTGGGAAATATTTGGAATTAATAGGAGACGGGTTTCTCTTTCCAAATATTACAAAACCCAAAATTGACCCCCACTTCAATATGACTTAGAACACTCAAAATAGGAAATAATACAATGCGACTTTACACTCATTTGGTTGTGACAGATCACATATTTCAGGAATGAAGGCCGACAGGTGCTGTTTTGAACATGCGTCAAGATGTACATGTAGGCCAATTTTTAATGATTGTATGGGTCATTGCATGTATGTTGGAACATAAACTCGGTTTAATCAGTTTGGTGCAATAAGAAAATGCCACCTGATTTCTGAGAAACCGCGAGTCTTGGTAGACCCAACATTATACAGAGTTATGGGACTGCTAATCATCCTGGGAGCAAGTCAGTCATTCAGAGGAGATGAGATAGCCCACTGAGATTGTAGAAGAGTCGCGTTTCATGAATATGCTCATCTGGGATGACAGGTGACATCAGGTGTGAGTAATGAGCTTGTGCACCGATGTTGTCGCTGACGTGTACTTTCCCTTGCAGAGCTCGTTGTGAGGTCTTGGTCGTGTCTGTGTAGCACAGTGAACCATGATGATGCAGCCAGACTCATGACTTATTGAGGATGTAGATCAGTGTTGAATTTGGTAAAATGTGAAGCAACATTTTTACCACACTATCTTACCGTTCAGCCAACAGCCTCTTGAAAGAGAACCATTGAGGTGGGCAGCATTTTGAAAGCATCAATCGTGACTGACTGAATGTGTAAAACATGCATGTGTGCTTGTCATTGACAAACTCAAGAATGAAATCGTCCTTAAATTTTGTCAAATATTAAGAGATTTCTCACCTTTAAGCACCGGTACATGTGTAGAGAGAGTATAGAGGGGGGGCTTCAATATAAACAGTACACGCACTGCGGTGTGTAGTCAAGAGGTGTTAACATAGGCATTTATGAAGAAACTAATATATTTACATGTACATGTATTATTGCTTTTTCAATCGTAGGAAAGAGTTTATTTCTTGTAAGACAATTTTGAAGTGAACTCCTGAAAAAATATAGTTCGATTGGAGAACCCCGTGGCAACGTACGTGTACATGTTATGCTGTGCAAAGATAACATTTACAGGTACATGTATGTATTTATGATTTCATAATAGCACAGTTCATGTTCATTCAGTTCATTCCTGCAGTCTATAACGAAACATTCCATACATGTACATGTACGTCCTCCTTGGAGTTTCATTTCAACAGCCGAATAACACCTTGCCATGCTATGGAAACTCATTAAGCTCCATGCTAGCACCTACATGTACGTGTACCTATTTATGTATTTACATGTGTAAAACTCAATCGGTGCACATTGCTGGTAAGCTGTAGTGGTTTATTAAATGACTGTAGCTTTTGTTACTGGACACAGTACCTCATTAGGGTGAAAAAAAAAGGATGGGAAAACTGTGAAGAGCAGAACTTAAGACCACAAATTACCAAGGGGTAACTTGTCTAATAACCCTAACCCCCAGGGTGTATGTAAAATCATATTGAAGTTGGAGGACTTGGGACTGCTAGGGATAAGGAAAAGAACAGACGTAAAAATGTGGTAATGGAAGTACCGGTAACATTCAAATCCATTCAAATGCTGCTGAAATAGGCTGATTTTTGGCTGAGCGATGATTAGGGTAAAGCCACTTTAAACACCGTGGGATATCTCCGAAATGCGAACTGATAAATGCACATGTACAATGTTTGTGTACACTTAGGATATGAGAAGTTTTAATAAGAACCCCAGAAATGCTTCAGTGAACAATGAGAAATGTGGACATTGTAGGCAACTGAGCCCGTCATGTACATGTACCCGCATGAAACCAAAAACCTCAGAGGAAGTTAATCACATTCGATGCCCTAACATGCGATAGCCAGAGAAGTGCCAGGAGCTGCACTTAAGGGAGGTTCATTCGGCGGACAGTGGACACCAATTTCTCCAGCTATGTCAAGTTAGCACCCAAATGAATTCAATACTTTTTCCCACCTCAGCATTACCGCGTGATTGCCACGGGGCAGATTAGTCAGTCTGGGAGATTCCAGCGTCTCGCTGCCCTTAAAAAAAAGAAGAAAAGAAATGGGGGTGGGGTGGGGGAGATTTTCCCGTCTGCAGGTTCCAGGATGAAAATTTATTTATAAGATAATAAAGAGGTTTGCTGTTTCTCTGATCGGTTGGAAAGCACCGTCCAATCTCGTTAGGTCGACTATCGAGTTCGCATTACTGCGCATAATTGATGGGATTCGGCTGGCCTGGCATGCGCTGAAGCTGTTGACACTCTCGGGCTCAGGTAAAAACTCGGCGGAGGGAAGACGATTCGTCAGGATAGGTGCCTCCATCGAGAGATGGACACGCACTGATGGGTCACCGATAGAGAGATGCGTTAGCAGAGGGAAGACATCCGGGGTTGGTTATCTGGAAATTAAAAATTGTCATCGAGCTTTCCTGGGAGTTTCGAAAGATGCGGTTGAGAGCGGGAACGTGTCGTGGGTGGATAATTGAGATATATGTATCAGTTTCAGTTTTTTTTTCTTGGTTAAGTTAAAGACCAGTCTCAGCATACATGAATGATAATGGTACACCACAAAGGCACTATGCAGAGACAGAGGAGAGTGCCTCAGTTATTCGACAAGTAAAAATGAATAAATTAAATGCGGTCTTGAGTTTTCTGTTTTCATCTTACTTGTGTTGTGATTGTAGAATGAATTGTTAACATTTGCGTCAGAATGATGTACGGAAAAATTCAGAAAGGAAAGAATGTTACTAAAAGAGGGTTGACCATTCACTGTCTTGAACAATACAGTAAGAGCCCAAAAGTGAAGAATGTTAATCGAGCAGAAATTTTCTTTTTCCGTGAAATTCATCTTAGTAAGCATTTTACAAATGAGGCGATGTGTACATGTACATATACATGTATGTTTACATGTGATCATGTACCCGTTTTGCAAGAGATGGTTTGAATCTACATGTATGCAGAATTGAAACACTGCAGACTGGAAACCTGTCCACCAGACCTTGTCCATTTCACGGACCCATACCTGCAGGATTACTTGTCCAAGATTGTTAATCCAGGCAGGAGGATAGATGAGGAAGAGGAAGGTGGACATGACCCTTCTAAGTCATACTGAGTGTCACTGGGGGTTTGTCCTCGGGAATAGTGGGAGAAGGGGGACTGGGCTCGAGGAACTCTTTCATTATTTCATTAGACATTCCTCATTGGGCCCGGGGCAAACAGTGAGTCCTGCAAGGAAATCCCCTTCGAAAATAACAAGTGCAAGTAAGCGAGCAGTTAATGCGTCAGGCCTACTACTCATTTAAGGTTTATCCTGATTCAGTTGATGCTAAATCTCGACCCTGTAGCTGCACCCCCTTTTGAATTTATTTAGTGAACTATGAATTAAAATAATGCACACATCTGGTTTTGGGGTTAGACTTTCAGAGACGAACATTTCTGGAGCGGAGTTCAATCTCCAGTTTGTACAGTGTGATAAACTTTCTTTGGAATTTCATGTACATGTACATGCAAGAGGAATTGATAATAACAAAATTAATGACAACGAAGAGAAAGAAGACAAACATTTTTGATATTTTTGTTTAACACTGTGTTTAAGTACAATGGGACACACCTCCATAACAAGCTGCTCTCAGTTGAGCGAACAAATCAAATTAAACAATTGAAATGTGACATATTTCTACAGAATTTCTGTCGAAGAATCTTTGTGTTACCTGAAAGGGTACGCTGACACCACTTGCTTCTTGGCAGACTTGTATGTAGACCAAAATTGCTTAATATTCTGTAGCATCTGTCTCAGCACCAATACTTATGGGCACGGTTGAGGGGTATTTATATCAAAGAAGTGGTCAGCTTGTCTGTACAGGAAACCATGGACTCACAGGAGAGCGTGTCCCTTGTTGACGTGGTCTACTGAGTGATACATTACACTGATGTATAGATACATGTACATGTACATGTACCTGTAGATCTAGGCAAACTGATTTACTGTCAGATTTGATATGGCAGAAATATTTACATAATCTTCCACATGGCAATGGAGATATGTAAATTCTGTCTTGTTCCCATGGTTACTGAAAATGGTAATGTCTAAAATGTGCGGAGGCTTTTATCATGTAGCCCACATAGCTTGTGTCTGAAAGAAATCAGTAGGCACTGTTACATGTAAATGCATATACTGTATCTCAAATTTTTGGGTCAGAGAATTAAACTTTGGTCCATTGACACATATCAGTGTGTTGGACTTTTTTTTTAGTTTTAGCTGAGTATAAAAGAAATTTCATCTGAAGTACAGAGTGGGGAACAGTGAAAAGAATTGATGTATTGAAAACCTTCAGGGCCACAACCTTAACATCTGGAGATCCCTCATAAGTTCATCAGGGTGATTTGGACTATCAACAAATAAATTTCCTTCAATCTTCATGGGCCTGGACTGAACATCACACCCTGTGCACTTGTCTTTCCACCTGTCCTTGCACCTGGTGCATTGGACATGCTGGCTTCCCTCTTGAATGCAACAGATGTTTGGCCACGACAGAAAAAAGAGCATTTGGATGTGTTTTCTTTCTTTTTTTCCTTGTCACAAATCTAAGTGAACTTCTACCTAAATATAGTTCACTGAGCATTTTGCAGCTCCGAAGGCCACAAACACAACACGTCATCAGGTGGTTACTCATGCAGGAGATTTCTTGTTTTTCTTCTTCCAAACTTGGTCGTGTACCTAGTGTGTAAACTACTCCACCTGCCAAGCTAAAAATACATTTTGGTTGTCACTGGTTTGTACGGTATGTGCAAGGCTGATATTTCTATTAAATGCCGATAACAATGCTCTGAGTCAGTTCGTGACTGCACCAACATGTACATTGTGAATGATTCTGAAAGGAAAGTACGTGAGTTACTTTGTTGAACTCACTAGCTAAATATTTCTGCTGGCTAATGGTAAAAAAAATTACCTTTTAACCCTTCATTGTAAATTGAGAACAGTTCAGAAGATACTTCGACAGAAAAAGGGGTGAAAGTTTCTTATCAGGATGGCAGAATTTGAGACATGTATTAAGTGATTAACTTTGCTGGTAATCTTTTGCATTACTCTTGTGGGGAGGAAAATGCATGGAGGCCTTATTTCCTTTATCTGTTTCTCTGAAGCATGAAATGCCATGGAAATTCCAGCATATCACAGAGAGCGAAGATTTTCTGATTTGCTTCAAATTTAAGTCTGTCGAGTGAATGAGTTTCGCTTGCAGTGTGAGGTCTTTTTGTTTCAAAAGGTAATTTTTCAGTACTGCTGGACATTTGCAAAAAATGGTGGGCGTTTGATAAAAGTTTCAATTTTAATTTCAGATTGCATCACTATAGAAGAGTAAATGTTATTGTAATAAAAACACTGTCACTTTCGTTTTCACCGGCAATGAGCATTGTATTCAGCCACAGTACATGTAATTATTATACTTTAATATCCTCCTATACAGTGTACATGTACATAAAGAAAGCTTGCACTAGTCATGTTTTTCTTTGAAACAAATCCTGATTTTTTTGGTGTTCTAGTCATTTTCGGTTGTAATAATATGGTATATTAATGTCTTTCCTTTAATATCTGTTAAGATTGTGCATTTTATCAAAATGTTTTGGTGGAGAAGCAGTAAGGGGAAGATTCTTTGTTTAACTGATATTTATATGTGAATGAATTTGAAAGATCCTTAAAGGTTTTGTGACACTTTATTTAATTGTAATGTTCTCTCTTTTTTCCTCAACCTCACCTTCTGCTGTCTGCCACCCTGTCTTCCTTCCCCTCCCCCTTTCAAATCTGTGGCCTTTATTCAACAGCTCGGCCATACTGTGTGTAATTGGCATGGTGATAGTCTGGTGCTTGGCTGCTGCTGAAACATTTGTCACACTGGTGAGTTGTATCACATTGTGAACATTACCTTTTCATGATACGAACGAAATTGAAATCGGAGTACATCTGGTGCTACAGTTTCATTCTGGCCTACCAGCAAAATAATAAGGAACATTGCACTTTGCTTAACATCATAACATCATTTGCAGTGACCAAGGTAATTACAGGACAAATATTACTAATCAATTAACCCTCCTATGCTAAGATACATTCTTGACACAGTTGTCATATCAGTCAAAATCAGTCAAATTTCCCATATGTGTCTGTGTACTGGGGGAAATCAAGTGGAAGGCATTTGTGACTGTTCTTGATGGTTAAAAGAGAGGGAAGGTTAATATTAATGCTGCATGCTGTGATGTGGTTATCTTAGGTCTTTGCCAACAGCATCTTACCCAGGTCGCACTTGTCCCCCAATAGTGCAAAGACTGAAAATCTGGGAAGTTTACAATATCCCAGCTAAAAACTGGAGTTCACTGACCCTTTCCTAAGCTTTGAGTGAAGATGTTAATTTGATGTGATTTCCTGTTTATTCGCAGTGAGCAATAAGTTCTTGTGATACAGGTATATGCTTAAAAGTAGTAAAAGAATTTGATTACCAGCTTTTCCTAGGGTATTTTAATGGAGATGCCAACAGTTTATATAAATTGCTCAGCTTGAAAAAAAATGTTTTGGAGGATAACTCAGTGTTTTATTTCAAGATTGTAGCATGCTGTGCATGTACATTATAGAACCCTTTACCTGAAATAACGTCCAAACTTAGGATGCCATCCGTTGTCTTCCAACTGATATGTAAATGTTCAGATGCTGAAGTTAAACGTCCAATATAAATGATGTTTGAGGTTATAACATCACCATTTGGCCGAACTGAGTTTGAAGCTTGTCAGCAGGGGTGTGTGGCAATCCAGCGTGTGGACATTTGAGGGAAAGGTCAGAGGGCAGCATGTTATCAGCGAGACTCAGATACGTTGCGAATGAGGAAAACTGTAGTCTGCTGTAAGGAAGAACTTGCACCAGGCATCTCTTGGTTAAAACTTTATTTTTCTCCATAAAATTAATTGGACCCATAGCAATGTTCTTCGTGCCTTTGCAGGGTGTGAGCGATTTTTGTGCTGATCCAGACACCTTCATTTTCAAACAAGCCAAGATGTCAACGGACTTGACAGATGGTATGTAATGAAGTTGGCAGTGTGTTCCGATTGAATGTGACATCCGAGATACAAATTCCAAACTTCAATCCATGACTCAACCCCATGCAAGCATGCTCAGCCTTGTAATGTGCTTTTTCTCACAGGTTTTCAGACAGCACTGAGCACGCACTGTCTGTGAAATAGAATGTTGGATGGATACCACACATGTAATGCCCGGGGACGAGTCCAACATTTACAAAAAGTGGGCACCCAGCATATACGGGGGGGGGGGGATTTTTTAGCAGTAATCTCCATCTTTAATGCTTTTTAATAACCTGTCAAGAGCATAAGAAGAAAACAGGGAAGGGAAAAGGTGGGGAAGGTAGAAGGGGCATCTCTTAAAAATACAGACACTAGGGAGGCATGGCCTGCCCCATGTGAGCCCCATCGTTCTGGATCCCCTGTTTATGCCCATTATTGATGTCACATGACTGTGTGTACCTTACATCGCAGGATCAAATCTCAGTTGAGTGTCAAATATGCTGTCGGTTGGCTGGAATAAGAAAGTTATTGAAATCCAGAAGTGAAAATTTGAAAAGTTGGAATGCAGTATTTACCAATTTTTACAAATGACAATATCGCTTTTCTGTGAATTTCCTTTTTATTAGAGAAGCATTTGACTTGACGTGAAATGCACACATGTACATGTAGCATATGAACTACAAGATACAGTGTTTCTGTGAAGTGGAGAAACCCTCACTCTGGAAAAAGTCACCAAACCCTCAAGGATTTTGTGTTTGTCACCTTTTAAATACCACAAGTACTGTACTGCAAAAATCTTCATATCTGTTCCCTTCACAATGCTTCTATTATCCTGTCGGCAGAGTTTCTCAAGTACTACATGAAATGTGGCCAAACAGCGAGTCCTTTCAGCAAGGTAGGTGGATGCGATGGACCGCTGGGACAGATTTGATCGGTCATGCCAACTGTTCTGTGAATAAACAATGGCAAAACGTCAGAGCTGACTGAACTAGTCATTCGGTGCTTGACATGTGTATTTCCGCAGGGTGGAATCTGTTTACCTGAAAGATAGTGGTCCTTGGTTTTTCAGTGAAAGATTTCAGGAAATAAATTACTCAGTTTAGTTGCCCCTATAGATGGTTGGAGATATGGCTCTCACTATTCAAATCCAGCTGCAGTTTCATTTCATGCACAGCTTCGAGGAAATGGAAAATGCGAGGTTGCCCTTTCCTGTTTACATAGCTGACATAAGTTGCCACGAATTTCCTTTGCTCCCTTGAAACATCCGACTTTAACCGATTTCACAGAGCTCCAACCTTTCGGGGGAAATCCATCATTAATGTGCTCTCGATAATCTGTATTCTTTGCGAGGCGAAGAATGGGAGTTACTTCAAATTTGACCCCCCCCAAAAAAAAGGGATAAAATTTTTTAAATTACTTCTTGTCCGATACAGTATACAGCTGACAAAAAAGAAAAATTAAACTGAAGTTTATCCAACGCTACTTTTTATTATTACAAAATGGAAAAGTAAACTGACGATTCACTACATTTCTGCAAGCCTCAAAGTATCATTCTTTTCCCCCAGGACCTGTCCTCGGCAAACACTGATCTAGCCTTAGCAGGAACTACCTTGGACAAAATAGCCTCTCTATCCAAAGGGTTCTACCCTCGAGCAGAAGTAAGCAATGCACACCATACTTTCATTGCCACCATGTCCAGTTTTAACACCCATTTGGTGCTGCGCGTGAACGAAAGAGGGCGCTGTGTGACCTAGTAACAGCTTCCCTTTTTGGCCGACACCATTGGCAGAGATTCACCCTTATCATAGATACCATGGAGTATCAAGTATGGAACCAAGGATTACTCCAAAGCATCCGAGGCACTGTGGCTGGAAAGCCTGAAGAAAATCCGAAACTGAACTGAATCGAACTCGGGCTGTAGAGGGAGATGGTTAGGAAAGAACCGTTACGCCAACCTGACTCTTGCCACATCGGTTGACACCTGTTGTTTCTTTTTTTTTTCCCCCAGCCTGTGGTTGCACAAGCCAAGACTGCTCTAAATTCTGTCACCACCTCAGTGTTGACACTTTCAGGAAACCTAGACTGTGCCACGTCCGGAGTCCATAAAGATTACATAACTTCGCTGCACTCGGTCTGCTATGATTCAGTGTAAGTCCATGTGTAGAGGCCAAGTGTCATAAGGAGGCTAGGTACGCAGCATTTGAATAGCAAGAAAGTGTTTCCCTCTGCTAATAGCCCAATTTCTTATAGTTTCCAACCAGAAATTATTGCCTAGCAAATTGATATGCTAAGCAAACATTTGCTGTGAATCAGTCAAAAGATGTATAGAATTCATGTCATTTTGGTTGGTAACCTGCATTTGTCAAAAAGAACTTTTCATCACTTACCAGATTTCAATGTTTTGCAGATCTATGAAACTGGCCCCACAGACCCCTTACTGTTGGTACTCGGTAATAGTTCCTTGAACGCGGCAAGGAACCATTGAAAAAAAAAGTGAACAGCAATCCCTCTATAAAATTGGCCTCAAATTTTTCCTTCAGTGTGGAACAGGAGTTGTTAAAAGGAGCTGAAAAGCACAAGACTGAGTACATGTAGCTCACAGGTTGCTAGAAACTTTCTGAGAAAAGACGATAGAGGTGTTAAGTGTTAAAATTTGATGCAAAAGCTGCTTGATGAGTGAGAGTCTGAAAACTGACACGTCAAGATTACCTCACACAAGACATGACCTGATACTCCGTTTCTTGTCTCCATATCTAGGATTGGAATCACAATCATGTTGCTCAGTGCCATGCTAGCTGGTCTCCTGTTCACCCTGGTCATCCTGTGCACCATCAATCTGAATGGCAGACTGCCTAAAAGGTTGGTACCCTGCCTCTTACTGGATACATGACTTGAGGCAAAGCTTTAGAATCCTTTGAAAGTGAGCAACACGGTTGCATAACGTCGGTTGCATAATGTCGGATTTAATAAATGTAAATTTGATGAATAACAAAATTAAGTCAAGAGGGTTTGGGGGCACAATTGTGGGGATGAGATGTTCCATAGCAACTGTGGATTTAGATGCGTCCAGTTAGATGGGTATTCTTGACCAGCGTAGCGTATCAATTTTGACAACTGTTAACCAATGAGATTCCCATCAGAAGCAATAAGGGGCTGTTTACGTTACATGTGAATATCAGTGAGGGAATGCTTAATCTGGCATGTTAAGGGAGCTGTTCATACATCCTTTAATCTGATTCAGCGAACCGAGTGCAGGAGTAATTACATACCAAGGAAGTGTTGCACATAGACGGTGATCTAATTACACATTTCCTTTCGAGTGGGTATACACAGAGCCCACATTTTACTCTCGTTTCTGCTTTCTGTTATACCTCTTGCTGAGTGCTTTCTTGTGAATGGAAGTATCTAGGGGCCGTAGTGGGGGTAGGAGTCCCACGGAAGGAGAAATATCTTTTGGTCGGGGCGATAAGACCAGCATGGTGCAGCAGACATAGGTGTATCCTTGAGGCACAGCTTTTCCTCAGAAGTTCTAGAACTGAAATTTCCTTCCTCGTTCCAAGTTGGGACCAAGGGAGAACAGCTCTCGGACACTTAAAGAGATCCCAGGGATGAACAGTTCATGAAAGAAAAAATGATTTCTGAAAACTGGCAGTTTGACCTAACCACGCCAGTTAGCTTTTAAGACGGTGGGGTGTTGCCATTGTAACAAATCTTGCTCAATGGAAATCACTTGTAAATGCTGACACAGTCGCCCACATAGTATGCCTGCTTAGTCTGCCGGATGGATCAAATTGAGTTTAGAATACAATTTTGTTGCAAAAATTATGAAAAAAAAGTTCAAAATTATACTTCGTCCCTCATAGCTTGGTGCATCGTTCAAGCTGTTGTTTTTTTGGCTTTGTAGAAAAATACCCTACGCGGTAGACCAGGAGGATCCCTTCTTGCCCCCGAATGACAACACTGCGACACTGGAACGTTACCGGAGGAACATGGATCCACCATCACCCAGACAGGACAACCGTCCAGCGCCCTTGCCATCGGACCACCGCGCTAGACCCATTTCTCTCTCCAGCTCACTGCAGGGTTACAGGTACGGGCATCATTTTTCTCAGCGTCTTGGTCTGTGAATACGAAAATCTGGCTCGTCCTTTTTTTTTTTTTTTTTTTTGGCACTGTTCGGAGGGGGAGGCTGCAGGTCACCATAGTTGCCTAAAGTTGCCTCTTTCACTGTCTGCCCCGCTCTCCGGAAAGGGTAAACGTCAAAAAGAATGACACCAAACAAACTTGTGGAAAATGGTTGTCTTTGTGAGCGAGATTATTTCTATAGACTTGGTTGAAGTCCATGAAAGCTTTCTGAAAGATGTCAGCAGTTGCCCTGTCAACTGTCTAAATGTTAGCTTTACTTGGTTCTTTCTTTGCTGCATTTATACTAATGAAATCAGTAAAGGTGCTTTTCCATTCAACCGAATTAAATTGTGCTGGGTTCTTGCCGTAATCAAGAATCCATGGCTAACACACAGATAATCTCCCTTTCTGTCCAAGTTGTATGTTATCGTTTCAACTCTTCTTTTGCTGAAATCATACAAAATTAACCTGATGCCCTGTGAAACCTTTAACAAAGTAATTTAATCAGTTGACCAGTGTTTTTTTGGGCATATTCTACGAATGTTTCTTGACAAGGATGTTACTGTCATGCTTCAAAATCAAACATCTTTGGGTAATGTGCATTTCAATTAATGTCGTAGCAGCTTTCATCGATGTTTGTTTATCCAATTAGCGCTTGAACTGGAGACATATGGGTGTTGGGTTCCCTTCTTCTAATCAGCAGTGCAATTGCTATGACGAATGTCCTTCCTTCTTTCTAACCAGTCCAATAAATCAGACAAAGATTGGACAGATACTGATGAAACTAAGCTCTTCGGCTGTGCACTGCAGAAATCCCCCCATTCTCCTTGCCTTTAGCTCTTAGGTACGGCAATTCACACTTCCTGAAAGTTACGCAAATCCGACTTCAAAACTTACAACTTTTCAGACCGCACTCTCCCAAACCGAGCGACGCGCCGAATCTTTTCAACTACCTCCAGCGGGAAGGGTAAGTCGGGTCCCCTGAAGCCTCTTCCCCCACCCCCCTGCTGGCTGCATCGCCCGCTGCTCTTATAATTACACATGGCACCCGACTAAATCTTTTGCACATCCTCTCACTCTTAAGGATTTAGCTATATGCTGAAAAGTGTAGTTTCCAAAAGATGTATTTGCATTGGGGAGATATTAATTTCTAGTTGTGGGCTTTGCCCCAAACACCAATGTGTATTCGTAATACTATTGGCTTGTTGGCGTCCAAGAGCTTGCAAAATAAATTCACAAGCTTTGCACTCGGGGGGAAGTTGAACCCACAACCTCCTGCTTACTAGTGCAGACATCATATCCACTCAGTCAAGAAGCTTGCCGGCTGGTCGGTCAGAGTCACTGAGCACACAGAGTTATGAATATGCACGTACATGTACATCGGTGTCGGGGCAAAACCCATAGTTAAGAAGTAGTGTAGTGGCAGTTCGTGTGAATAGAGTTGTCACAATTTTGATTCCAAGCTCTATAAGCCGATGGCTAACCTTCTTTTGTGGATCTGTTTTTACCGTCTTAATGGCCTCTCCCTTGCTACATGCCTTCATGCTCATATTTCAGAAAAAAAAAAACTTCTGCAATGCAGTCATGCCCTTTGCCTGTTTACTAGCACCGCTAACCCTAATGCTTGCAGGGAACTCTGCCTGACAGATTTCTGTGCTTAGTAGGAATAAGCAGAGAACCAGTCTCAAGTGCTATACATGTACCTGGCCTTTTGGTTAGTAACCTACACGCATTTCTGCTAAGCATATATTTTCTTTGCCTAGTAAATCTGTTTATTAAACAAAAAATTAAAAAACCCTTGGGAGATATTGAATTGTAGAATATCTGCCAGAACCGTAGCCAGGATTTTGTCCATGTGGGAAGGGCCAGGGGCACCAGCAGAATGTGGGTGCGCAAAGGATGACCCTCAAAATTTGAGCCTAGGGGTGGGAATGGGGCTGTCGACCACTCTTGATGCAAGAAGATGATCTTTTTCCTACATGTTTATCACAATTCATTATGAAAAGGGATTAAAATTTAGTACTATCTTGTAAAGTTCACTCCTTTCATGTTTTATTACTGACAAACCTAATTTTGAAAAAAAAAAAAACCACTTCCTAAGCAAGTGGTCAATCGCAGGTTTTTTGCAACTATATCTGTACCAAAGGCAGAGTTCTTAGCAGACCCAGGGAAGTCACGGGATTTTACAGTGAGGGCGGCTGTGAACCCTGAAAGTTATAGGCCCCACCTTTATTCTCTCTCACCAGCAGAGAAGTCGATAAATGAGCCCATTTTGCAAAGTTATAACACATTTTCACCCTCCACCTGCGCAGAATTTGAATCTTGTGGGTGTTCAAGGACTTTTAATCAGTGCCAATGCACTTTAGGGGGTACATGTACACTGCATACTTTTGTGATTGGCATTTTGCCTGTTTTATATTTTGACAGTTCTTTTTCTTACTAGAAATGTTTAGAAAAATGCATGTATATTAATGTAGGAATGCTTTTTTGTTGCTGCAGAGTTGAAGAGGATTCAGAACAAAACATAATGATTTGGAGTCCCTTTAACATTTGAATGATTTTGAGGCTGCAAACACTGATTGAGTTTACACCAATGCACTCACCTGCATTGTGTATCCATACGCTGCATGGCAAAATAGTGTCCATCACAGTCTGTGCCACACGCTTATCTTGTATGTATGTGCACGGCGGGATATTTTTGGTGAAAGTTCTCTCAAAGGCAAACAAAAGCCCGAATGTCCAAAATTTAAGGATTATTTGTCATGTTTGTTGAAACGAAGGAATTTTATTTTACTTCAATGATTTGAATCTTAAAAGAATGAGAAGTTGATGCAGATGCTACAAATGTGCAATGGTACTTCTGAGTGATTTAATTAAATCCAAAATGTTTCCAATTAATGTTGACAACTTGGCATGTGCTAAATAGCATTTTCAGTCGCATGAAGCATCATTGGTTCATCGAAAATGTTCCTTACATGTAATGAAGTCCCATTTTTACTGTGAAGTGTGGTTGGCCCAATGATTTATGCTTGGTTATCACCTGAAGCAATGGCACGCATAACTACAGGGCAAAACTGAAACAGAATATGTGTAAAAGGAAACATCGGCAAGAGCTGCCAGAATAATGCAGGCGATTCACAATGGTGTGCCACCAAGAGTTGGCCAATCACAATGTGCAAAATCTGTGGACCCAATGTGCATTTGGAAAGGGTCAACAAATTTCGCGCGTTGTGATTGGCCAACGCGTTGCAGACTCTTGGGGGCGCACTATTGTGAATCGCCCGTATTCTCGCCCATTTTCAGTGTTTCCAAACATCAGGCTTCTGAGTTTGTGCTTTGCATTCAGGCTGGCTTTATCATTGACCCTTTGCAAACACAAGCTAGACATGAACATCAGCTGTTTGCATTTTGCCTTTGGGAATATCCTGCTTGGATTGAAACGTCAGGCCCTCTAACTTTCTCAACTGTGTAGATGCGATATTGGGAACTACATTTTGTAGAGCAGAATACACCTGTATGATTCGTTTACTTTGCCTTACCACAAAGTATGGTATTGTGTGCACAGGTTGCACATGATATATCACATTGTGGTGTACATGTAACTGATGACTTGGATGGTATGAGAGATGCCTTTTACATTGTTTTTTTCTTTCCTTTTAAATGTCTTGTTATTGGAGTTCGTCCATAAACTCTGACTACGCATGCCTTTTTTGACAGTAGTTGGGAAGCAATTTTCCCACCCACGTTGTTACAACCCATCAAACTGCATTGTAAGTTCAGTTTGCATGGGATGAATTTACTTCGCAGGTTATGAGTGGGAACCTAAGATTTGTTCATGTCAGTGTAAGGCAATTTTATACTGGTACATGTATCTCCATGCTCAGCTGCAGTAGCAAGACTGACAAAAATGGTTTCTCATAAAAATGCAATGGCCACAGTTACATTTAAACTAGTGCTAGTTCCAAGTTGTGCATTGAGCGGTTTGTTCTGTAGTTGAGGCCATTTATAAAACTTTCAAATGCAACCAACCAAATTTTCTGCTAACCTGTCAGAGCTCACTTCCATCCTCATCATCATGTTTCTGGCCCATTCCATCCCCCATTCATGGTACTTCAGAGAAGCACTATGGCACCACCTTCACCCAGTGTCTGTGTATTTCTCTCTGTCTATGTGTTAGCCATGAGCAGGGGCTCAGCAGCTCCAACCAGGCGTGGCCGGTGCCCCGACAGCAGGGGACCAGCAGTGGCTGGGGAGGAGCGACAGGGGCCGGGCCATCGACCTCCTCCAACCAACCACCTGTCCGTCACGAAGGCTACGATTCCCCTCCCCCTTCCGTAAGTACACGGTCCGTCCGTGTGATGTTCGTATACTGTTCACATGTTATTCACATGTTGTTAGCATGTCGACATGATGTCCATGTATATGTGTAATGAGCTGGGTGTTCACATGTCGTTCTGGTGTTGTTTTCCAAATGTGCCACATATGGCCTCATGTTCTCATGACGACCACACGGTGCCTACATTTTCATCATATCTTGTTCATGTTCTCCTAAGTTCCAGTCCTCATCAGTCACACAGTGTGTTGCTGTGTAGCAATTGTCAGGAAGGTTTTGAATGTCGGATACTTTTGTAAATACCATTTTTGATCCCATTTACAGTATACTCTCGCAATGAGCCGTGACAACCAGCGGCGTAACGCAGAGAACGGCCAACATCAGCAACAAGCTCGTCTCAGCTCGGGCAGCATTGTCTAACCTACCAGGGCCCATCACGAAACTCTCTGAGCTCCTTTGTCACCCCAAACTTCAAGAAACAATCACCTGCCCAATCATGCCTGCAGCAATCAGCACGTCTCACCTTAAGGAGCTGTGTATTAATATGGTATACCTTGTGACATGCACAGAGGATGCAGCCATAATTTGATGAAAATCAGAATCAGTACACCCCTCATCGGTTGAAAAGAGCCACGTTGGTCGGAAGTGTTCGTTTTGCTGGTAGCGATGCGACCGTAACGCTTGCATTTCGTAGTCATTAGGGAACCATCAAAGTGCAGTTTCGACCAAAGGAGCCTCCGTTGCTAGGGAATTTCTCAATTTTTTGTTCCAGCTTGGGGCTCATAGGTCTTTTTCTGCAGTGTCTTGAGGCTGAATCCGAAGAGCTTGACCCCCAGAATATGCAGAACCTTGAAGCTATTTTTTGAAGCTCTTTCTAGATTCTTTGTCACTCACTGAAAGACATACAGTTCTTGCCTTGAGTTTGATCAGTGAGTGGAGAATTGGGCGAGATGGAAAGCTGTGATGAAATCTGCTGTTTTATAGCAGTTTTAAAAACTATTTTAGAACATGATTGTGAAAAGTTTTTGAACGCAATTCGGGGTCTTTTCACGTGGTCTTGAAAGGTTAAACTTTTTATACGATACTTTTTGAGTAACATTGACACTCAAAAGTATGGCATGGATATACTTTTTGAGTCAGGCTGTAGATATTTTTAACCCACGCATAATTCTCTGCTATAATTCTGATCAGACCTATTTTACTCTGCTCCGCAAAACGTGACAGACGATACAGAAGTGCCTGTACATTGCAAAGGGATATCGATGAAGAAATGGCAACTGTGTGTCAAGAAAAACAGGTGCCTGTGGTGTGGGAAAACTAGATGTGAGATTATTGCTAAATGTGCCTATAATGTTATTCCTGGGGATACGTTTGGCAACAATTCAAGAATTTAAGGACCTTCATACAGATACATGTAAGTTGCCGTGATCCAAAAGCCTAGACCCAAGGCCCATATGTACTTGCTAGCATCGGTGTCGTGGGGTGGGGGTGCTTGCTGTTCCCTGAAAAATCAACTAAGGAAAATAAAAAAGGGGAAATAGAAAAGCAAAAGAAACGGGAAGAAATGAGGAAAAGTCATGAAAATCACCAAGTTGGTTGGAAAAACCCTTTCACCGGGAACAGTTTTTCAGTTTGCTGCTGATGAATCTATTTTTTCTCCCCCCGACAAAAAATCCCGGCGACGCCTGTGCATGCCGGATACTTTTCCCTAATATCTGCTCAATAGTACACGTGTACCTCTTGACCAGTGACAAACAGTCTAAGGCAGCAAATGGAGCCGATATCTGTACAAGGCACGCCCCCAAGGCACCCACGATAAACCGTTTCTTGTTACTGTTTCAAGCCAGATGGGCAAGACCAGTCAGGCTCACCACCATGTTGTTTTATCACGGGGAGGGAGGACATTGGTAAATAAGAAAATGTCCTCTCGTAAACGTATGTGTATATATAGATTTTTTTAGCCCTTGTAGAATTATACGTTCATCACTGCTCCCTTTACAGGGTACGGGGATCGGCTAATCCCTTGTATAGAATTTTGTGCAGGATGTACAGACATGGCAAAGCATCGTGGGTCGCTTGCAGCCCTGCTTCAGGCATGTACATGTACATCCATCATGCAAGTGTACCTGGAAGTGACGACTTCAAATTCCCTCCCTCCAATGAGGCTCGAGGAAATTGCATCGTGCACTCTTTAAAAACCCCAACCATCTTTGTGTATTTCAGGGTGGTGAAGCAAGTGAAGCCCTTTTCAGAAAGTTCCATCGAAGCATTTGAAGGGCACAGAACACCTCCACCATGTTTGAAAGCAGTGCCTTGACAATTGAAGGCCTACAGAAATAATTGACAGTCAGTTTTATACCTGATTGAACCATTCAGTAGTAACAGCCTTACATAAAGGAACAGAACTTATGTTATTATTTTTAAATGGACAAGATGTCACACATTGTTCTCACGTGTTGAAATCTGGATATTTGCGTTCACATTTTTATGCACTTTTTTACAAAAAGCCTCTATGATATGGTATGCCAATATTGTTGTAACACATCTTGTAACAAAATCTAATACTTTTTAATGCTTTGCATTTTCTTTTCATCTGTGTTTTTTTTTTTTTAAATATCCCTGAATTGTTCAGTGGGGGAACTTTTTGCCCCCAAATATATGCTGTGTAAATATTGTAAAATCTTATTCATGTGGTATTGGCACACTACATGTAAATGTAATGAACAAACAAAACAAAAGTATCTTGTGCAGCAATTGCTGACATCAATACCAGTGGGTTGTTCATCTGGTCATATCAAGTCGACTTTGTCTCAATTGTACAACGATTAAATATTTAAATGTTAATTTCACTTGTCTTGATGTGGTCGGTCGATCCTTTATAGTTGGATTTATTAAACTTATTTGACATATACGGTTTTTTTTCATTTAAATGCGAATGAAAAATAATGCCAACTAAATGTCCACTGGGATGGATTCTGTAAGAAGCCGAGGAAGCAATCTGTAAGATATTTGCAAATTAGACCATCAGTCTTGATGGTAGGGAAAGCATATTTTAATTTAAACGAGTTTAAGAAATTAGGGTTTAAATTTGGTGCAAATATGACTGATTTTGTAGTGCTGCATTCATGTTACTATATTTACATAGATTGATTGTCTTAACTGGTATTGCCTTTTACCTGAAAGTTGTTGCCATGGCGCAGGATGTATGTTGTGCTTCTGTTTCCTCCACTTTTGCCAATGTGTGTGTGACTATGGTACTATAATAAGACATTGATATTTTCTTTCACACGTTTCACAGTAGAAAAATGCTTGGCTTCCACAACTTGTTAAAAATTAAAGATAATGTATGACAAAGATTTTTAACAAATAACTAATGACATTAGTAGAAAAAAGGCTTTTGGTAAACATGTCAAAAGTTTTAAAGAAACTCACGTTGCATTTGAAATTTGAGATACATGTATTTATAACATAAGCATTTCCTTGACTGTCAAAGTTTTAGGATAAACTCTTGAAAGAGGTTTCAAAATTATACTTATTTTACGAAAAAAAACGTGGAGTTTTAGCATAGAATATACCGGTACACATATATTAAAAACACTATCGGAATTTTTATAGATTCAAATCTTGTTTTTTTGCATTGACATACGTCAAATAATGCGATTCAGATTTTGTTGAAATTGAAATGGTTAAGCCTTTGGTAGTGTTACCATGTCATTGAATTCAACTTCCAGTTGGCCGTGTCACTCCAAAATCAAGGCATACATGGAGTTTTATTGGTGCACCTAAAAAATGGTTATGTCTTGCCAGACTCTGTGTCACAATTTTTACTAAATTGGTTATTTTTTTTAAAATAAACTTATAATGTAGAGAGAGCAATTACACATTGTTAATGTTATGCACTTGAAGGTATTAAATAATACGGTTAATTTGTTATGCGAAAGTGTAGCCTGTAATTAAGCAAAAGTTTAACATCTTGTTGCATAATTTCAAGTCATTTTAAAAATGTTATCTGCACATTCCGATGTCTTCATATCAATTAATGTCAAGGGCTGTCCAAAATTCTCTTCTTTTTTCCCCATGGGACTACACAGATTTATCCATTTCATTACAGATCCTCCATTTCAGCTGTGAATAAGCTTCACCGGGTTTGAATTTAGGGACTCCTAGAGATTAATTAATCAGTTTGGATTCGGTATTGTTTGTAGCCATGCAAGTCTCCTTGGACATGCATGTGGCTGCTCCTCAACCCTCACCTTGTGTCATAGAAATCTAAATTATTTTGTCTTTCATATGTCACCGGCTCTAAAAAAATGGGTAGTAAGTCGGCAGATTCAGGTTATCAGTTTTTGATATGGCTGGATTGAGTACATCAGAAGCAACAATTTGATTTATGAATGGCCCCTGTAGTGCACTGCGTTCTGGAGATATTTAGACATTTGTATATCCACATTTTCGGATTCAATAAAAGCACTTTTTGAGAAAAAGCTCAGAAAGTGTAGCACTTGGAAACACAATGCTATGCAAGATTTCCTACTGAATGATCAATTTTTCATCTTTATTCATCAGTATCCATGTTTGTAGTCAAAAATTCTGGAAACATAAATGCTATACAAGTTAATAGAGGAAAAACAAAAAAATCACATTTTTGAAAACATTTTGCCCATTCCAAATAGAACAGTCCATAACATATTTTGGAATTGCGCGACTTATTACCCTTTTTTGCAGAGTGGGTCACATATATTTATCTCTGTAATCTTTAGTTTAGCTAGTTTAATTCCATTCTTGCTATTCAGTTAGATTTTATAAGACTAATCCCAGGAGATGCCTTAACTGTGGTGACACCGCACTCACACACGCATTCTTAAGCTTGGGCGGAGCATGCATTTGGCAAATTACGACACCCTATCGGTCGGAGAGGCACGTAATGCGTACCAACTCCCCATGAGTGTTGTGCCACCACAGTAATGGCTTTCAAGTCTGGTTGCCGGTTTACACAATAGAGGCAGAGTGTACAAAAACAGAAACCTGACTTTTTGTTGTAGGTATTACAACTAAACGAGAAATGTCTCTCAAAGACCCAAACACCACCGAGCATTACGAACACATAATGTTTGTGCTACTGTACACTCATCCTAAATGTGTGAAAACAGTTTGGCGTCCATTTGACTTGAGACTGAGGCCGTGTCCGAAACAGGCTTCGAGAGCTACGGCTAGGTCAATTGTCTACGCGTCTCCACGCATTTCTAATGGAGTGAAGACCTAGACCTAGCTCTAGACAAGAGATTCGGATGCAGCCTGAGTGATGTGTGATGGACCTGACTACAACACAGCAAGTGAACATTATTCTGCTGCAAGGGGGTCACCCCCAAGAACTATCTGCAAATCAAAGGCCATCCTTCAAAACCTTGTTCTAGAACAGAAAAAAGGGACCAAGAATGGGTCACTTTCCAGTGCAGCAGTGAAAGAGGTCCTGGGGAAAACAGGACAAAACTGGAGTTTCCCCTTGAGTACATGGTCCCAAGAATGCAGGAGTGAAATCACAGAATGATTGAGGACTTGGAATCAATCCCTCAGAAATTTCAATATACTCCCCCCCCCCGATACGGTGCACAAGTTGCTGGAACCTACAAAGTTGGGTACATTGTTGTTATTGACATCAAGTGGCATGTTTGTATATAATCTTAATGCTTAACTTTTTTTCTGATGATTAAGTCTTTCACTACGAGCAAACAGAAGAGCATGCAGGTTACATTTCAGAACACTTTTTAGGTTTTAAGTGCAAGTCGAGCAGTTTTGATGTTAATTTTTGAACATTTAAAGGGATTTAAAGGAAAAGGGTACAGGCAAAGTACCATAATAAAGCTATGGAAATTGACGCTATACATAATTCTATACTGTGCTGTAATTTCTATACGAGTTTTGAGTGGTTCAGAATCGTTCCGAATAGGTGACAAGCATACTGTCCAAAACGTTGAGTACCCGGTCACCGTGACCGGTTCTTTTCAGAACCCCACATACGCAAAAAGAGATATATCCATTGTGCTACTGCAAACCTATCTAATTTACTTATCTGCTAATTCAAGCGAGAATTTTTGGCCAGCTCATTAGCATTAAAAGTGCATCGTACAAGTATCTTTTGAAAAACTGAGATTGTATGGCCCCAAAATGGTGACATTGTGTAAATCCTTGCCAGGATTAACTCCGTTGGTCTTTGGGCTTTCTTCTGAGAGCAGAATGGCAACAAACTACGCTTAAAAAATGGTCCTAGGTTCCCGAGAAAGTTGAGGGTTGCCACTTGAAAAAAAGGCTGCGAGAAAAATGTAATCGGTTAACTCACAAAAAAAAATTGAAAAGAACTGAAATTGAAAGATTAGGGACCAGACAATAACCTAATATGTGTCTCAGAAACCTTAGGGATGTTGGTATGCATGTTATTGGGCCCTGAGCAATACAATTATACACTGTTTTCAACTAGGGCTTGAATTGATGGACAGACTACACCCATATTGCACACGGCCGTATGGATGAGTAGCAAGGTTTTCGCTCGTCGCCGGCGCGCCTGCTGGTGCCCCGAAGGGTGCAGTACCCCAATTCAAGGAAAATTCTCCGCCAGGCGGAGGCGCACAAAAAGTACCCCGATAGATTCTTTCGAAAAGAGGGGTCTGTTTGGGCCAAGAAATGGTGGGATGGTGCCAGTATAGCCGGGGATCATCTCTGTAGATTCAGGTACACCCATCTGGGGGCAAAGCAGACAAAAATGTGATTGAAAATTTGTCAGAGGAGACCCCAGAAGGTGAGGGATGTCATTTGAAAAATGGCCGCTGAGAAGACTTGGGAACATTGACTTTTTGGGGGCTGAGTTTGTTTTGGGCGGATAATTAAAAAATTCATAAGTTAACCTACTAAAAATTGAACATCAAATGAAATATGAAGGACCAAACAACACATTGTTTTTTGTTTGAGAGGCCTCAGGGACTTCAGTTGCCTGCCATGGGGCTCCAAACTTGGTTGGTTTACACTATTTTCAATGGAGCTTGAATTGGTTCAGTGCACCCCGAAGGAAATGTTGTGTACCGCCCTCTGTTGAAATTGAGAAAATAGTTCCGTACCTGGGAACGAAAATGTTTTATATTCATACGCAATTTGCATAATTAATTGCAATGAAAGCCATTTAACATCCGACGTGAAATAATTTTGTTGGTTTTTAAAAGCAATCCCCCAAAATATCTCAAAAATACACCTCACTGCAAAAAAGTGTGGAGTTTTGTGTTTTTCCCCCGACTTGTGCATTTAAGGGGGCACTTGTTAACAATGTAAGGGATGCGCACACCTGTTTCTGTATATGCGAATAGGCCTTGACTACGAGAATAATCGAGCGTGGCTATTTACTGTTTATGTGTTCAGCGTGCGTATGTAGCATAGAGAGGTGAAATGAATTGTATGCGTTTGGATCACTGTGCTTAGGATACGGGGGACTGAACTGAGTTCTCTTAAATGCGCTTGCACTGACGACGGAATATTTGATGAAATCTCGGCTGGACACAAAATAAGGAAAGCGACGCAAACGCCAGGAAGATGTCTTCCCAGGATGTTATAAAGAGCACGGCCAAGAAATTGTAAGTTAATCATGTTACATGTACATGTATGTCTTCGATAAGTTACGTGTAGGCTTATATTGTGATATTTATCTGTTTATCAGATTGGGTAAAGGCAAACGTGTTAATATGATTATCATAGAATGCCACCCATGGGCCTCACTAATTTTCCCATGCAGTGAAATCAGAAAGTGATAACATGCCCTAAATTAATGGGATATTAGAGTATTCACAGACAGTACTGAATTTGCAGTGGCTGTTGTTACGGCAGCCGTAACGCATCTCCCATTTTCTATCGTTACGGCACTGAAACTGCGCAAGCGCGCCAATTTAAGCACAGATTTTGGACTTTATTTCCCTTTAAAAAAATCCTCCAAAGCCACTGATGAGAAAAGAAAAAAGATTCCTGCTTAGGCCTATACAATTAGAAACCAACATAAAAAAACAATTAATTATGGTATGAAACATGAAATTTAGGCGAAAAACATTAAAATAGTCGCAGATTCGAACTCACACACCAGTGGTTCCAAACCTTCCACCTTGACCACTCACCCACATGCATTCAGTGATCCAGGTAATTTTAAAATATATAAACTGTCGTGATGATCAGCTGTGTCATCGCACTTGCACAGTTCAGTGCCGTAACGATAGAAAATTACAAATGCGTTACGACTGTCATTAACGATAGCCACTTCGTACTGAATTTTGAGAGTAGGTGTGTGGATTGTGATGTGCCATTGTTTGTACGTACATGCTGTCATGTCAAGTGATGTCCAAGTACATGTACATATTGGAGGCTAATGGAGCTCTTTCCCTGAATTTCCAGTTGTCACAAGGAAATTCTTGTGCATGTATTCATATGACCACAGTGTTAGGTACATGTCTCCTACTTTGTGGACATTAGGCCACACAATCTAAGTTTAGCCTTACCTTGAAGTTTTGTGCAATTAAAGTGATGAACATGTCACTTGAAGCCAAAAGGCATGTATTTTTTAAAATTTCTATACCCACAAAAAAGTTAAAAACCACCTACTTTAGCTGCCCCCACCTCCAGAAACAAGAGCAACAATTATCCCCATTGACCCACCCCTTCTACCACTGATGGACCACATTCACAGTGGTAACCTTCAAAAGAGGTAATTACATGACATGTACCTTCCCATATCTTTTGGCATTAGATCATGATCATGTAATAGTCAAGTCTGAGTGGCCTTCTGACAGAAATGTTCTCATGCATTGCACCATCACATTAAATCAAATTTTACCCCCAAACAGACCCTTAAATGCCCAGTGTGCCCACCTTGGGATTCATACTTGAGGAATTAATCATTTGAACGGTGGTACTTTGGTGAATTTTTCTGCTCGTGCCCGTGGTTTTTGCTGGAAGTTGCAATAAATGCATGTATATACCAGAAATTTTTCACCTCCAATGCTCATGTGACTCCCATGGAGCAATATTGTTGAGACAAGCATCAATGATGTGCCTGTGTGACAGCAGTTTCATTCTCAAAAGAGCCATTGGTCTCCAAGACAATGAGAAGGGTTAATCCTTAGACTGTTTCCAGTGACTATGACCAATATTTATAAAAATGTGGCCATTTGAGGAATCCTGATTGGACTACCCTCTTACCAGCTTAAATAATGTACATGTAGGTTCCCCCGAAGGCCAAGTGATTCTGTATATTTATTGACATACAGTTACATGTAGCTGCAGATTTTGATACTGGTCTGCGTTGACATCAGATCATATAATTGAATTTCAGACCAACTTGGTCATTGACTTAGGTAACCTGTCCAGCACCTGTTTCCTTGCCTACTAATGTGCAGATTAACGGTCAGCCCACAAACTTTACCTCTGTGATGTTTAAAAAAACCATCTCAGTCAAATGTGAATGAAATTCAGGTATTCAAAGCTCCAAATAAAGGAATGAAAGGTCCTCTCGTGTCTTTGTGTTAGTACAGGTGCAGATGTTAGTTTTGACAGATTTTTGTAATTACCCACCTGAAATAAGCTGAGATTTCCTGTTTTTTTAAAGATATTACTTTGAGTTGGCCTTGACTTCTGTTTTCACAATGCTTTGTTGACACTAAGTGTTTTTATTTAGAATGATGCAGGTTGCTAAGGTGTTCTTGATGTGTAGTGTTCATTTTGTTATTGATCAAAGTTTACAAAACATCTGTCGTATCCTGCCAGGGCAAATGCTGTGCTCCAATCACTTCATATTTCTTGGTTTTGCAAGGTCACCAACCAGATTCTTGCCAGCTCTGAACCTGAGCATAATTTTTCACCTCATCCTCACCACTTGGTGAACAGAGGTTGCCAGGTGCCTTCCTCTGTGGCACATGTGCCTCAAGGTTAATCAAGATACAAATACACCGAACTTAGGACCTAAGTGGTTTTCAGTAAAACCAAACAGTTGGTTTGAGGATGCGTCATGGTTACTGTTGCAGACTTCAGTTTCTTTGCATCTTGCTGTTTACTAATTGTTCCCCCAAATACTGCCCACTGAAGGGCTTAGAGTCTTTACAAATAATTTGCTATCTCATGAAGGTAGCATGGTGTTATAGTCCCGGAAAGTACAGTAGCACACATCACATTCCTAACACTTCTATTTTATCCTTATACATCTGTCTTTGTTTTCTATCATAATTTAATGTTAGTTCTTCAGAAGGGTATAACTGTAAATTGTCAGCTGAATAGGACAATACATGTCCGACCATATACATGTACATGTATGCAGCAATTGTCTAACAAGGGGTAAGAGATGCTGTGTTACCATAGAAACCTCGGGACCTTCTGATCTACTGGGACATTTTCCTGGTTCACTAATAAGTGAGCTCACTTGTTCCGTAGTAAATCAATCAAAGTCGAGTCCTGGCCAAACAAATTGAATATGTGTATGCGACACTCGAGTGTACTTCATGGCATTGCGCACATGAGGGAAGTAAATTTCCCCACCTGTGTTGTTCACATGCTGAGTACACGTACATTGCCTCATTCCCTTTGCTGTTTTCAGTGTTGAACTCAAAGAGATTTTAGTGTGGTTTTCAAATGGCCAAGATTTCAATCCATTATGTATATATGTACATTAATTTGTACATTCAGCTGCAGGGCCCACCAATCAGTGATTTATTATAATTAGAAATAATTATTGTCATTTTATATTGTATAATTTGCATATCTTTAGACATATATGCCCAGAGGAAGTTGTGAAATACAGACTTAGGCAATTCCACACACAGTGGAATTCGGTGGAGCTTTTATTTCCATTTTCATTTTTGTTGAGAAATATTTTTTGTTAATGAATTGCGAAGAATAAAGAAGGTTGGCAGCTACAATCTGTGTGACCAATTTCCACTTTTGCATAGAAATGCCCATGTTAATGGCAAGCAGACCCTTCATGATGAAGTGAAACATTCTTTAAGATGTGCATGAATGTTTTACAGTATGCTTTAGTTTGCAGTGATTCTACCCAGGATTTGACAAAAATGGAATAGTTACCCCCGTTCTGATAGTGACAAAACACGGACATCTGCAGAGGGTGTCATTTCTATCATGTTGATTTTTTGGCAGATCATTTTTTATTGAATAAAAATACAGGTATTCATCAGTGAATTTTTACCCCATACAGGAAATACTACATGGAAGTGAAGCGCTTGGAAGATGCATTTGACTTGTCAGGGCCTGATAAACCCCAACGACACTACCCAACGCTCAAGCCGGTAGGTGCACCTCAGCCATTACTGCAGCAAACACAAATATGTGTATCAGGAGAAATTGGTCACATAATCCTGTCTGTGCTGAAGAATGGCCACAGAGACTGGCGTCTGGTCTCCATAGTAACCTGTCACATTTTATATTCTTTTTTCTAAAGGTGCTTTCTTTGCCAAACGGAGGCATGGGTTTATCCATAATGGGAACAGGCTTTGTTCCTTAAATGTGCATTCATGGGCACAAAATGCAGTCAAAAGGTCCAGCGAATTATCATTTTACTTTAGCATTGCTTCCTTAATGGTAATGGATTTTGGCAGTCGCATACACTCATTTGGTTACTCGCACTTGGTTGCACATTTCAGAAATTGTCCGTGTACATGTATGATGGGCCAGAAAGGACATCGCAGTCATGAAAATTCCCTACTGATGTCCTTTCAGGGCCACTAGCCCTCCCTCCGAGGGGTTCTGTCATTCAGCTGTTTTGAGTTTAGAAATGTGTACATGCTCATACAAGAAATAGCATTCAAGCCCCTACTCCATTCAATCTAAGTGTAAGTTCTGGCAAATAGTTAACTTTTATTGATTTTTATCACCGCGATGCTTGTCCATAGCTCAGTAATGCTCATCTTTCTATATTTTTTGCAAACAGAGACCAACGCTTTTGTATGACGGATTGCATGACAGAGCTCTCAAGCATTATTTCCGGAATGCTGAAGTCAAGAAACACCTGGTACAGATGAAGCCAAGGTCAAGTGAGATGGAACGGGAATCAAAAGTCAGGTGGGGCAGATTAATCAGCTTAGAAAAATGGGACTGTCAATAGTCCTTATTGAACCTGAGTTTTCCTCCCTTGGAATGCTTACAAGATGAAGTGCACCTTATCAGTGATGTTTAGTAATATTATTATTAACATTTCCTTCATAATGGTGTTGACCATGAGGATTGTTAGCGGAATATCACAGTCAAAATGTGACGGAGAGGCTTGTGACTGATATCCAGCTGATACAGGAATTGCATAGCGTGATCACGTGTTGTACCCGCTAGCTAGTTTTGCACACCATTCAAATCTTCTCCTTCAGGGAATGTGAAACACGATGGTAGAATTCATTAAGCTGTAAAGACCTCTTTTTTTCTGCATTATTTTATAGGTGAGCTTATGAAATTCATTGCAGAGCACTTGATATTGTATTTGGTGTAATTGTGTCTCTGCCAGTCTTCTGAAAGTTTGATGTCACATATTTTTCAAGATTAATTTTTCTTTTGCAGGAGAGATGTTGACCGCTATATGGAAAAGTCACATTTCACTGTAAGTCGAAATATATACTGGTTTAATTTGTTTTTAGGCATAATGTGAAACAAAGAAACTGTTCAGGAGAGTAACTTAATAGAGTTATTGCAAGAATACATGTAGGGATTCTTGACATGCACATCTACTATGAGTGCTGCGAGGTAGGGCGAGGAGTAACGCGCCCAAGATGGAAAAATGGAGAAAGAGAGAGAACAGAAAATACAAACAAAGAGGAGATAGTAGAAACCAATATTGTTTATTGAATATGGCCGTTTCACAATAGTGCGCCACCAAGAGTTTGCAACGCGTTGGCCAATCACAATGCGCGAAATTTGTTGCCCAATGCGCATTTGGAAAGGGTCGACAAATTTCGCACGTTATGATTGGCCAACGCGTTGCAAATTCTTTGTGGCGCACAATTGTGAATCGCCCGTATTGAGGACAACTAACAAGGGACTAAATGCAACTTGATCGATGTCTACTCAAGTTTTTAAACGGTATCTCTTATTGTCATTTGATGTCTGTGCCCTTATCATCTTACTCTCTGTGTGTCTTTTACCCTGTTTGAATATTGATCTTTAAAATCCTCTTCTTGCAGAGTCCCTACACAAATCTTGTCAGAGCGAAACCACCACCAAAGAAAAGGTGAGGGTTTTTAATTCAGTCATATTGCCTGGAAGATCATGTGTGTTGGTTAGTCTAGGATGCTACAGGGATTCAACAATATTCCCTCCGATGCAAACACTCACACCATGATTATTCTCAGTTTTCAAACTGAAATAATTGGCAGTGGCATTATTTCTTTCACTGTAAAAGTTTTACTCCGTGCACTGTGTGTGTCATTTGGGCATAAATTAGGGAAGTAAAAATGCGACCCAATTTACAAACTCTCTCTCTCTCTTTGATAGGAAGAGCAATTTTCGGGGAGGACCTCTCCTGCTGAGATCTCGTCATGGTCCACAGCTCTCCAGAGGGGAGGCAGAGAGATTGGTTAATGCCGCTACAAAGCTACTAGTGGCTACAGTAAGTCATTGAAATACTCGACCAAGTGTGATCGCTGACTACCAGCAGTCAATTTTTGTCGGTAACCTATGTATAAAATACATTCTGGGTACCAGGTAAAAATTTACCAGTGATTGGTAAATATTTGCTGAG